AAAATCAAATTTCATACTGAGTTTCTATTTTGCTTGTTCTAGGCCTGTCACTAAGAATGTATTGACAAGTGACAGCCAGGCAATGAATGTACTTAGAATGACATCATGGCGTATTACTTCCAGTACTAGTTTCCTGGTCTCAAATATGCAGGTTTGGTAGGAAATAGTGTAATTTGAATGGGGTGTGGATTTTTTGCTTAGTGTGTAGATTTTTCTTTTGGGGGAGTTTTTATTGAAGTCAGTAGGGTATCTTTTTTTGGGGGGGGGGGGCTTTACTGGGGAAGATTTGTACTTAAGCGGCACTTTTGCCTGAGTATCAGCACTCTGTGCATTGTGTTAAGTACCCCTGAATTCTGCACTCTGTATGCTAGCAGTGCAGCAGTCATGAGTATGCAACCTACGGCACAGCATACATAATGCAGAAATCAGGATTATGTAACATACTTTGCATTCTCCTGCCCGCCATACTCTGCTTTGTGGCACGCACTCCTTACTGTTGAATGTTATAGAATATCAATAGTTATGTTAATAGTTATGGTCGTTCCACTCTGTACATTATATACTACTGATCTCTGGACTATATGCCAATACTAATTATGTACTCCTGACCAAAGGGTCAATTGTCTCAACAGTTGCTGGTTACTACGTAGTTCCTGACTATTTAAGGAAGCTCTTCTTTAAGATACGCTCAGACAAAGTGTTACATCTCTATATTATTTGTGTAGAAAAGTGTGCGTAATGGAAGAGTTTTAGTTTTTTTAAATGATTGTACTGAGGTGAATAGGTGTTTTTGAAATTCTCATTTGCAGCACAAAAAAAGACCATATCAACAGATTGAGCTTTTATTTGGATGGTTTTGTTAAGCCCCATTTCAAGCAAAATATGCCCTCCCTCCCATCCCCTAAACCCACCCTGAAAGTGTTCTCTTTTTCTCTACCCACTTAAGCAAGTTATATTCATATAAGTCCGCCATCCAGATCTCTCTCCAGCGCCATTTTCAGGTGCAGAGGACTGCTAACTTAGCATTGCAGATCCTGAGAGGATCTCCATGCTTGGACAGCCAATAGAAAGTGTCTACATCACACAGGCAGTGACATGTATGGCTGAAGAAGGACCCCACCAAATGTAAACAGTAGAGAAGGCTTGGGATTGGAGCATCACATGATTTTTGGTGAGTAAAAAGGGCATCTAGCTAGGGTTTTATATTCCAGTGATCAGTTAGATGGGAATGGAAGGAGGGTGAAATTGATCCCGGAGATGGGCTTTAAAACATGCATAACAAATATATGTGTGCTTTATTGTTATTGGTTGCCATCTTTCAGCTTCCCCTGCAGCTGTCAAAGCTTGTGCTGGCAGTGTTTGAGCCCCTTGCTAATAGTATGAGCGAACAAAAGTGGGGGCCATATTGTTGAGAGAGAGTCTCTCCAGAACTGTCAGGGCTGCAGGATTAAAAAACTTTAAGTCAATTATGTTATAAACTTGCGTCTCCTTTTCTACCCTCTGCACTGTCATTATCAGCCTGCGGCTTTGCATGGAGCTGCCAGTCACTACAGCAGGTATTATTCTCTGCTTGCATACAGCTCTTGAGAGGCTCCCTGCAAATGTCCACACTGATAATGATGCAGAGGTTGAAAACAGAAGATGCTTGCTGATAGTAGGAATAAATAAAAGGGTTTTTCATAATGCAATCTGGGCAGCTCTGGAGAGACTCTTTCCATAGCTGTTAGGGCTGCGGGATGAAAACATTTTCATTCATTCATTCATACTATCAGCAAGCAGCTCAAGCAGTGTCAACATGAGTCATGACAGCTGCAGGGGGGATCTGGAAGATGGTAGGATCCGACACTCCCAGAAGTATCGGATTCCTATTCATTTTTCAGAGCTTATAAATAAGGAACAGAACAACTAATTTAAAAATATCACATATGTATCTATTGGGTTTATGTTGTAATAAAACTATTTAAGTAATAAAGCTTGAACTGGTGACAGTTGGTTCAAAGACTGTGGCATATGTGTATAAGTAGGTTCAGGTCCTATTTAACTATACCCCTTTAAGCTGATCTCATTGCCAATGCAGTGTAGCCACACCCACCGTTTGCCATGGTGCGCTACATGGGGTGCATCATCCTTTCACCTGCGGTGCCCATGGGTGCCCCAGGTCTTTCACAATCCTAGCTATGCCTCTGGAAGTCCACCTTCTTCATCTCGATCTACTACCACTGACGAGAGGGAGATCTCACTGTTGGACTATCCAAGATATAAAATTCAGAGACGGACTCAGCCAACCAGGCTCTGAACGCTATAAATGAAATATATCTTTAGAGTGGAGTGATCCTTTAAAATAAATGCCGCTACTGAGAAGATTGTGTTTTGCTAAAACAATATTGTAAAAATGTAATTAGCTGACTAATGACACTGAGTCATAGGACACTTTGCGCCACAGGACTCATTGATGTTACCTACCCCTTCTTGTATGCTAAGATATTAGTAAATTTAAGGAGAAGTCTAACCATTTTTTTCAGTTTTGTGAAAAGTGCAACAAGATCAGAACCTCTGTCAGGTCTTTATTATTGTTTCCCTGTTGGTAAGACTTTCCCTCACTTACTGTCCTTGTGGCATGGACAAAATTTTCTTTAATTTTTCCTAATTATAGTAAAAAATAAAAACCCCAGTGGTGATTAAATACCACCAAAATAAAGCGTTATCTGTCCCCAAAAAATGGTATAAAATTCATTTTGGTACAGCGTTGTATGACGGAATAAACTTCAGTCAAAGTGCCGCAGCGCTGAATACTGAAAAATGGCCTGGCCAGGAAGGGGGTCTAAACACCTGGTCTTGAAGTGGTTAAGACAGGAAGTGAGGGAAAATGAACACTGAGAGCAATTTGGTAGAGAGTGGAAGGGTCAGCACCTTTTTATTTTTGCTGTCGGTGACCTCATGAAGACATCATAGGAAGATTTAATTTACTGGTACCTGCGACAAGTAGAAGCTGAAGTGTAGTGTATGCCCCCCCCCCCCTGTTTTGAAACCCCGTAATGTCATCATCGGGTCATTGGGTCTGTCTGCTGCAAGAGCCTGCAGGCTCCTGTAAACATTGCAGCTTTTTGCCTCATATCTTTTTCAAATGAATTATAGGATGCCTTTAGATGTGCCTGCTTCTCCCTGGTTGCCACTGGTTGCTTCAGATTTTAGCTTCGCATTCAGATGGTTGGTTGCAAAGTAGTCACTGCTCCAAGCTCACTGCCATGATAGACTACAATCTGACTTTGGTTTACTAATTTGTTATGGGATTGTAGCTCATCACGGAAGCGAACTTGGGGAGGGGGCTACTTTACAACACACACAGGCACAATGGGGAACCAAAGTAGAAACCCTACAGAAGAAAGGACAGTGTTATCACCAATTTAGAGATGATTTGAGGATTTGCACAGGTGATACACAAATATGATACATTTTTGTTCATATAAGGTACCTAAATGTATTTTTAAAATGTAACTCCTGAGTTTAGTATCATTTTAAGTAATGGTTTAGTCCAGATAACCACTGCCAACTTGTACTCACTATAATTTTCATTCAGCATTCATCCATTTGTTTTAATTAATTTACATACCTCTCCAATTGTTCTGCCCCAGGCTGCACAGTCACATATAAAGTATTTTTTAAGTTTTGGAAAGCAGGGCAGGATATTAATGATGTCATTCTGCAGCCCTTTTTTTTTTTTTACTGTTTTCGAGTTCATTGCAGTAGGTACCTGTAATCTCACTGTGCTGAAATATTAATTCATCATTGCAGGCATTCATGAAAAATAAATGTGATATGGAGCTGAGAACATCATACCTGTTTTTTGGAAAATTATGTTTGTGTGATCATGGTGCTGTAAAAACAGAATCAAGATGAGGGGTGGTACCAGGTTAGCTGAAGAGTAGAACAGTGCTTTTGTGGGTCAATAGCAACAATAGCTTTAAGGTAATACTATTAACATCTAACTAAAGTGGATGCTGCACTGTACACTTGGTATTTTGAGTCTTACAGAATATGTGTCTTCCCATAAGATACTGTATAAGATACAGTATATGCTGTTAGTAGGAAATTCTTTGTAGGAATGTCACATTTGAGTAATACTTGAAACACTGCCATATCAGTCATTCATTGTGAACATGTTGTTGGCATTCTTGATTACTACCTTTGGAAGATACATAGTGCTGCAGTAAAAGAAAACAGTGTTTTATCTTCCCTAAAATTCTGCTTGGTTGAAACAATCAGAAACACATGGTTTACAATATTATATATACTTTCTTTTTTCTAGAAGCCATCGTTGTAGAAATTGCAACAAACTGTGCTATTGCAGCTATCTTTAATTGAATTCTAGGCTTGCAATCTGAAATATATCAATTTACCTAATGTGCAAAATAATTTGCAGGAACAGAGCGTCAGCATTGGCTTCAATCATAGTCTCATCTTCCTCGTAGTTTACAACATCATAACATGAACACTGTCATATTATGTTGTGGAAAGTTTTCTAAGAGAGGTGACTTAATTACTTGCAATCATGCTTAGTATCCGAACTGTGAAAACAATCAAATAGTGACAAGCTTGAATATTCTAAATTATTAAAGTGCTTTTCACAGCATATTATGAATTGATTAACTTTTTTGCTTAATCTTTATTAATACTTCTTGAATGCTGCATCTCCAGTCTCTGTTTATCTTTCTATTAATTGTACTTGGCATTAATAAAAAGAAGGGTGACAAATTGCTTCATAGTAGAAGAAGCACTTTCATGATTTCATCATGGTTACTCATCGAGTGATAGAGAAGCTTGGAAAATGAGTCAGGCTTTTGCTGCTAAGAATCATATAAAAGGGGAGCCAAGTATGAACTTTTACACATATCCCTACAGACTGTCGAAATGATATGTATGGAGAAATGTTGCATTATGATTTGATGTTATAGTAAATGCTACTGATTGTTACATCTTTATCTGTTTTCTTTTTTTTTTAGGTCCATGACCAGAGAGTTATACTTCATGGGAGGAGTCATGCTTCACACGGCTACATCTTGCTGGCATTTAATCCTGTGTGTGACCATGGTTTTGGTCTATGTTGGGACCACTCTAGGCTGTCCTGCCCGCTGTGAGTGCTCAGCGCAAAACAAGTCTGTCAGCTGTCATCGAAGACGACTCATCTCTATACCAGAGGGCATCCCGATAGAGACTAAAATTTTGGATTTAAGTAAGAACAAATTAAAAAGTGTGACCCCAGAGGACTTTTTGAATTATCCTTTGTTGGAGGAGATAGACCTTAGTGACAATATCATCTCAAATGTGGAGCCTGGAGCTTTTAATAATCTTTTCAATTTACGTTCTTTGAGCTTAAAAGGAAATCGTTTAAAACTGGTGGACCTGGGTGTCTTCACAGGTTTGTCAAACTTGACTAAGCTTGATATAAGCGAAAACAAAATAGTTATCTTATTAGACTATATGTTTCAGGGTCTTCATAATTTAAAGTCCCTTGAAGTTGGAGATAATCAGCTAGTTTTTATATCACATAGAGCTTTTAGTGGACTGCTTAGCCTGGAGCAGCTCACCTTGGAGAAATGCAACTTAACAGCCGTACCCACTGAAGCCCTTTCACACCTACACAACCTCTATAGTCTCCATTTAAAATATCTCAACATTAACGCGTTGCCTGAAATTGCCTTCAAGAGATTGTTCCGGCTGAAAATTTTGGATATCAGTTATTGGCCTCTTCTAGACATCATACCTGCAAACAGTTTTTATGGCCTGAACCTGACATATCTCTCAATTACTTACACCAATATCTCAATAATTCCTTATCATGCTTTAAAACACTTGATATACTTAACTCACCTAAATCTCTCCTTTAACCCCATTAGCAGTATTGAAGCAGGAGCATTGGGAGACTTGGTTCGTCTTCAGGAACTACACTTGGTTGGAGCCCAAATTCGCATTATTGAAGCACATGCCTTTCAAGGGCTCAGGTTCCTGCGCTTACTTAATGTGTCTCAAAACCAGTTGGAAACATTAGAAGAGAATGTTTTCCACTCTCCAAAAGCTCTTGAAATTCTTTGTATTGATAATAACCCACTAATATGTGACTGTCGTCTCATTTGGATGCTGCAAAGGCATCCCATGTTGAATTTTGGGGGCCAGCAGCCAACATGTGCTAGCCCAGACACTATTAAAGAGAAATCTTTCAAGGAATTCCACAGCACTGTACTATCGCTATACTTTATATGTAAAAAACCTAAAATCAGGGAAAGAGAAATGCAACAGTTGCATGTAGACGAGGGGCAGAGGGTGCAGATGAATTGCAATGCTGATGGAGATCCCCACCCAATGATTTCCTGGGTTACGCCCCAGAGGAGGATGGTGTCAGCAAAATCCCATGGAAGAGCCACAGTATTGGTCAATGGCACTCTGGAAATAAGGTATGCCCAAGTTCAAGACACCGGAACCTATGTTTGTGTTGCTAGTAATGCTGCTGGAAATGATACTTTCTCAGCTTCCCTTACTGTGAAAGGATTTGTTCCTGATCGCTCCTACACCAATATGACCCCAATGTTCATTACAGAATTAAATGAAACCAACACTAATGGCACCAATTCTAATATGACATTTTCCTTGGATCTTAAGACAATACTGGTTTCCACAGCTATGGGTTGCTTTACATTCCTGGGAGTGGTTTTATTTTGCTTCTTGTTGCTTTTTGTTTGGAGCCGAGGGAAAGGAAAGCACAAAACTAGCATTGACCTGGAATATGTCCCTCGCAAAAACAATGGTGCTGTAGTGGAAGCAGACGTCACAGGCACTGTACCCAGGAGATTTAACATGAAAATGATATAGCAGAAGGCTACAAGCAGAGTTTTGTTATCTTCTGGCATTGTTTCTACCAACTAAAATAGCCTGGCAATTTGGATTGCTGGGTGGAGGCAGCTACATGAGGCTGCCAATGTGTCCAATTGGCTTTGTGATATTAGAAAGACAGTCTAGAGCTGCTCAAAAGAGCCCAGTGACCTGTGTACAAGAACTCGAGGGCATTTCATGGAGTTGTTTCACTAATTCTTTGCATTGCAAATATTGGCATTCTGGGGATCTCAGTAACTAACTGTTGACTCATTCTCATGGACAACTGCTCAACATTTTCTACCACTGAAAACAAAAAAACAACCTACAGTGTAGGATTTTCATACCGAAATAACACACATGTCCAAAAACATATTCCAGAGTGTAATTTGTATCTATAGATATCATTTGTTTAAACTGAGCATCATTCTTTCTTGTTGGTTTCACATTACAAATTAATTGGAATGGCTTATTTTATTCACATTCCCAACCTGAAGCAATACAAAGGAGAGATTGTGCTTTGCGTCCACTAATAATGATGACTTCAGAAAGTCCAGCCATGAATCATATTAAAATATCACCTGTAGCCAATCAAGCATTGGTCCATGATACAGAGTGGCTTGTTATTCTTTTTATTTTTTTAATATATGCTAAAATGTACATGTTTCTATTGAATCAAAATTAAGACTATATGGAATAACAACAAAATTTGAATGTTAGTTCCCCATTGTAAAAATTAATCATTATAGACATACCATCTTTGGCTCAGTGATGTTTAACATGGTAACCATGGCATTAAAACTGTTCATCGGATTCCCAACCTTTATTTTTATTTACATTACTTTTGTTTGTACCCAGCTGAAAATTTTAAAGCTGAATCGATGCTTGGTTATATTTATTGTGTGACAATGTTTATAAAGACATATACATAATTTGATACAGAGCTGAGTTATTTTTTATACCTAGTATAACAATGGACCAGTTTACTGTAACAGAAAAGAAAAATGTATAGTCATCCAGGTTGACAAAGTGTAGCCAACTGTTGACATATCTTGTTTAGTGGAAGTCAATAGTGCAGATCAGAATGGCCCATATGTGTCTTATGACTTGCAGTAAATGACAAGGGTTTAGTATTGTGGCAGTTACAGCTATGATTCTCTATGAAAAAAAAAACATTCCTAGCAAGATAAATAAAAAATACATTTAATACAAGATCGTCCTTTGGAAATTAGCATTAAAAGAACAATTTATGCATAAAGCCATTATGAACATCAGTGTTTTGTTAAAACAGAAATTATTTTCTATACAAATATAGTAGCCATTTATTATGAAATCTTGTTAACATATATATGTGACTTAAAGAAACAAAAATTCTATATGTGATCATTTCTAATGTCACAAGTATCTCGTAGCATAAAGTAAGTGCAATTTAGCAGGGGTAAAGAGAACATTAAGAGTTACAGCAATGAGTTCCCATGATAAGCTATGAACCATTATGCACTGAAGTCATTTTTTGTTTGGTCTGTAATATTGGTCAAAATTATTATATAGGAACCCACGGGATTTACCCTAAGGAACAGTCATATCTAATTTCATTCAGTAGAACTAAACTGGCAAAATACATTTGTTTGCCCGTGTGTTTGTTAAAATAGGAAATCTTTATTATTCCACTTCATGAATATAACAACCAAAGGGCTCAGAAAACAAAGAAACATAACTGACCCATATCAATTCAGCTTCATTATGTCCCAGTGCTGTAATGATAATTTACCTTGGTTAGAAAGAGTATCTGTTTATTAATGTTCCAGTCAGTGAAAATACATGTAAGTTGTGCAGAACCTTTGATTTGAATGCTTCTTTTTTTTTTTTTCTAGTTATAAACAACTGACACACTATTAGCAGTAAACAGCGGCAATCATGTTCAAACAGCCAAAAAAGCATAATAAAATTGAATAATTCTCTAAAGTGTCTTTTCTGTGTTGGCCTTTCTGCATAAACTATTGAGTTCTGTTGTGATTAAAACTGTTTAAGACATTTGTTTATGATAGCTTTGTTAAAGAAAATGAATGTAAAAAGCAGGGGCCACTATTTGTCTGCTGAAATACTGAAAACATGTATTTTCTGAATATTGAACCATGAGCAATTCTTCTCATAATCAGCTTTTAGTTAAATGTAGTCTTTCCAAATGTATACAAGGCATATTCTCAAGACTTTATATACACTTAGGGGGCTATTCACTAAGCTGCCGAAGGCAGGCAGCCGAGTAAATAATCGAGCCGAAGAGACGTGAGCTGAACGCTGTCTGGCTATTCACTTCGTCCCTGTATGGCTGATTTCAGCCATACATCGGCTAAAATCAGCCGTACATCGGCTGGCTTTGGTTCAGCCAAATGTGCTTAGCATGTTCGACTGAGCTGAAGTGAAGGAGCCGTTCGACTCAGCCGATCCATCATCTGGATTGGCTGAGAAAACCTTGGACAGTTCGCTCGCTGCCATTCAGTGAGTGAATAGCCAAATGCCACCGAGCGGCATTCAGTTTGGCTATTCTGCTCGCTACCTCCAAAGTAGCGAGCAGAATAAAAAAAAGTAAAAGTAAAATAAAAAAACAGCGTGGGGTCCCCCTCCTGATCCATACCAGACCCTTTACAGCCCGTTCACATTGAGCGGTTCGCAAATATCGCGCAAATGCTTGCATTGAGCACGCTTGAATCGCGGCTAAATCCGCTCCAAAAAGGGTCCTGCTGTAGCGACACACGACCCGCGACAGCAGGACCCTTTGCCCCATTGAGAAGCATTGGAGAGCGATATCGCGCGGTAAATTGCAGCAAAATCGCTCAATGTGAACGGGGTCTAAGGTCTTGTAGGAAAGTTAGGAGGGACCCCAAGTAAAAAATGAAAAAAAAAAGGGCATGGGGTTTCCCACCAAAGTTATACCAGGCCCTTTAGGTCTGGTAGGAATTTTAATTAGGAACCTCACCTCCAAAAATGGGGGGAAAAAATGTCGGGTCCCCCCTAAAATTCCTAACCAGACTCTTAATCTGGGCACAGGCCTGACAGGGCAGGAAAGGGGGAGCGCCCCCTTCCCTGCCATACCAGGCCACATGCCCTCAGCACTGAAAGGGTGCTTTTCCAGGGTCCCCCTGGAAGAGCACCTTGTCCTCATGCTGATGGGGACAAGGACCTCTTCCCCACAAGCCCTGGGGCATTGGTTGTAGGGTTTATCGGGCAGGAGGGCTCATTTGCATTGGGGTACCCTCTTTAATAAAGGGGCACCCAGATGCTGCCCCCTCCTTGTGAATGAGTAAGGGGTACTTGTACCCCTACTCATTCACTAAAGGGTTTAATTTAAAATAAATACAAATGTTAAAAACACACTTGGAAAAAAGTCCTAATTGAAAAAAAAAACAATTTTTAAAATTTGATGAACGAAGTAATCCATGTCAATCACGATGTCCAGCATTGTCAACGCCAACTCGCCAACATTTTTTTAAAAAACGTCCGCCCCGCCGAACACACGCCGCAAAAAAACCTGTACAACAGGTGGCAGCAAAAAATAAACAGATTAGCGTAGCTAGTGGTGACATCACAGCTGGCTGCACCTCTTTGTGGTTTGATTTGGCCGACACCCGTCATATGGGTCAGCCAAATGAAAACAACTGGGCGGAGCCAGCCGTGATGACATCATGGCTGGCTCCGCCCAGCTTTCATTTAATGGCAGCCCAGTGTCCTCAAATAACTTGAGGAAGCTGGGCTGTCATTGAATTAAAACAACTGGGCGGAGGCAGCCATGACATCATGGCTGGTTTCGCCCAGTTGTTAAAATTTGCTTCGCAGACCGTTCTCCACGCCTTGGCTGTGGCTTCGGCTCAGTCGAGCTGAAGCATATGCATTCGGCTTGGCTGAGCCGCACAGCTGCTGTACGGGCTATTGTGCATAGCCCGTACAGCAGACCTGAGGTTCGGCTGAACCGGAGGGCTCCGGTGGCCGAAGTGAGCCAAAGGATTAGCCGATGCTTAATCCTTTGGCTTCTTTGTGAATAACCCTCTTAGTGAAGACACCTGGCTCAACCATTCTTCATAATGTATGTAATGACATGCCACCACTCCTATCGTGTGCGAGCTGGGGGAATTTACTTCCGGCTATCAATAATTGCTGAGGCCTTATGATTAGAATTATATAAAAGATGTGGTTACAGTGTTGCATGGCCCAGTAATTATCAGTCAAACTATCACAACACTGAAAAATTACCTGGTAATGAAGAGGTAATACAGGCTGATACTGAAATGGTTGAGAATGCATAGCTCAATATAGCTCTCTATCACTATTGATGTTACTCAGTGAATGCTTGCTTCTAATTATAGAGCCAACAAATATAAGGTATAATTTACCTACATGTAAAATACCATTAGAGTGGTCTAAATAAAACCTTTTCTTACCTGTAATAAATGTATTTTTATTTGTTTTTTTATCATCCAATGAATTTGGGGTTATATGCTGCTGCCAACAGGAGGTTTGGACACTTGCAAAAAGTGTTAAAGGCCAGCCCCTATATTAGGGGTAGTGAATAAAAATTCAAGGAGGTCCGGTGACCAGAATTTTCAATGAGCCGCAGTTCAAATCACGGTCCAGGTAGAATTGCGGTCTGCAATTTAGGCTGCATTAACACCAGCAGCTGCACGGCAATGCACAGCTGGAGTGTGTTCCCAGGCACAGCGCTGTCATCATTGGAGTGGCACCTTACATTAGGTGTCCCCTTGAGAGTGCCCTCTTACATTAGGTGTCCCCATCAGAGTGTCCCCTTACATTGGGTGTCCCCATTGGATTGCCCCTTGCATTAGGTGTCCCCATCAGAGTGCCTCCTTACATTAGGTTTCCCCATCGGATTGCCCCTTGCGTTAGGTGTCCCCATCAGAGTGCCTCCTTACATTAGGTTTCCCCATCGGAGTGCCCCTTTACATTAGGTCTCCCTATCAGAGTGTCCCCTTACATTAGTCGCCACCATCGAAGTGCCCCCTTACATTAAATACAAAAAACGGAGGACAATCTGATAGGGACAATAAATGAAAGGGGGCACACTGATAGGGACACCCAATTTATTAAAAATAATAATAATTCGTTATCTGCTGCTCGGTCCTTATACAGACTGCGGTTCGCTATTAAGGGACCCCTGCTCAGCTTCCACTCACATCTGTATTGTTTTCTGACTCTCCCGAAACTGAATGGGAATGTGATGAACATTTTCCAAAGAATACTCAGCTCCAAGGAAAAAGAAAAAATGATTTATACTTGCACATGATTAGATAATAGAAGTCAGCAGAGTTTCACTAAGCTAAGGCAACTTTTTCTTGCAAAGTGAAAAACCCCTTGCAAAGTGAGCAGTTTATTTGCCTTTAGTAAATCAACCCCAGTGAGTCAAACATGGTCTTCAACCCTTTTTGTAATTTCTGATTCACAATCAGAATCCCAACGGTTGCCAGGGTTGTTTCAAACCTTATTGATGCGATGCATATCACGCTACATTTGGAGCATTAGTCTACTAATATTGGCCTTGGGTCTTTTAGAGCTCCTTTTAGCTGCAAAGGACTTTCAAATCCACCTGTGGTTTGAGGACTTCCTCTATGTGAATTGGAAACACCCTAAAGAATCCCACCTCCTACCAGAGCCCTGTCCCTCTACCTCAGCTGCCTCTGATTCTAACTAGTGATGGGCCGAACAGGCCGAAGTTTGGTTCGAATTCGAACTTTAGAACACCCAGAAAGTTTGAATTCGAACTCAATGCAAGTCAATGGTGGTAGAACTTTCAAAAACAATTGTCCCCTTTAAGAGGGCTTGTATGCAAGTTATTGCCCATAAAAGGTGTATGGGGATCCGGGTACTGCCCTGGGGGACAGGAATCAATGAAAAAAAAAAACTTTTAAAAAATACTGTTTTTAACCACTTCAAGACCAGGTGTTTAGACCCCCTTCCTGGCCAGGCCATTTTTCAGTGTTCAGCGCTGCGATACTTTGACTGACATTTATTCCGTCATGCAGCGCTGTACTGAAATGAATTTTATACCATTTTTTGGGGACAGATAGAGCTTTCTTTTGGTCGTATTTAATCACCACTGGGGGTTTTATTTTTTACTATAATTAGGAAAAATTACAGAAAATTTTGAAAAAATAAGTTTTTTT